GCTTTGTGAAATTTGTCAACATTAATCATGTCCGGACGGAAGAAACGAAGACAAATCTGCGATGGCTGCTGCTCTCTGGAAAATGAGCTCAAATTTCTTCAAAAACGGATGGATATTTTGGAAACAGAAATGGGACTTAACCCGACTCTTCCAATGTGTGAAAATGGAATGAATGGACAGACTGGAAATGTAAGTTATGATGACGTAATTACTTTTCCCAAAATCAACAAAGAGAACTATTGGAATAAATGCGGCGCTAAACCCAAAGTTGACAAAGCTAAGAATGACAATGGGAGTGGAATTCTGCCACGAAATGTTTGCAAAACTTCAAATCGTTATGCTGCTCTGTTTGAAGAAGCAAAGCCACAGTCTGTTTCTCCCCCTCCGTCAAGGCCACGGTGTTTGCTGCTTGGAGATTCAGCCATTCGGAATGTATCTTTGAACTTTGTACAGACTCATTCTTTGCACTCGGCCAAAGTGTCTGAGATAAGAACTTTGATGCCAAAAGTTTTATCTCAAACCAAGGATGTAAGTACATTGTTGATACACACAGGGGCAGTAGACATTTATGAGAAATCCACCGAGAAGTTGAGGAGAGATTTTTCTCTGCTGCTGGATGACCTTAAAAAAATTGAGTTAAACGTGCTAATCAGTGGCCCCATTCCAAATGCAGATGGAAAAATTGAGAAGTTTAGCCGTCTGTACCAGTTAAATTCATTTCTACACAATGAGTGTTCACGCAGAGGACTTGGATTCATTGAAAACTTCAATCTGTTCTGGAATAGGCTCGAGCTCTTTGAAGGGAAAGGCCCACATCTGAACAAATACGGAGTAAAAGTGTTGATGGATAACTTTGCATCTGCCTCAAGACCTCAGCCTGCGCAGCGCGTTCAGCCGTTGAAAGAGAGGAGGATACAACGGGCGAGACCCTCACGGAACCCAGAGGTCTCGGCACCTCCACCGCCTCAAAAGAACTCAACACGTCCACCAGCATCATCATCAGCAAAGGATCCAGCACCAGTAGCAGCAGTGGCTGCCACAGCGTCATCAGCGCCTTCAGCATCAGCACCACCAGCACCAGCTGTGGCTGCTGCATCATCTTCAGCAGCACCTTCCCCACCTACAGCTCCCGTGAAGCCCCCCCCATTGCTACAGGCTACAGTCAGGCCTGCACTGGGGGCCTCTCAACCACCTCCGTCTCCACCAAAGACTCCCTCATCACCTTCCATGGACCCGGTTTGGGTCCCCCCCGCTACATCCACTCCATCTAAGGAACATGAGGACGACCTTTCCCTGTGTTTTCCATCACTATTGGATTTACCGGAACACTCTGCAGGCATGATAAGATCGGCGATGAAGAATATTCCTCTCACACCCACTGTAGCCAGATCAAGGGTCCTATCTAACATTCATAACTTCTCCCCATACGTACCTCCAAAGCCACCTAGGGCGTCCAACTCAAATTCTCCCACAAAATCCACCCGTCCCTCAAATTCTAACTCGAATTCACCCGCAAAATCCACAGGTCCCTCCCCTAACCCCAAAACCATTCCAGCCCCACCCCCACCCCCCCTCGTTTCCCATCACCAAGAACCCCTCCACCTCCACTCCCCCCTCGTCTATCTCCCAACTCCTGCCCCTCCCCTAACACCCATCCACCTCCAACACCCAAGAACCACCCACCTCTCCATCCTCCTCCCTCCTCTCCCTAGGATGCACAGGGTCTCTGCTTCGCAGCCACTGGCAGTCTAGTTAGAGGAGAGACCCGGCTGGGGCCCTGTCATGAAGCCACCTGTGCCATTCCCTTAGTGATAACACAAAGAATACATTACAGAAAGACATCTGGAGTTAATCAGTCTAATCTGGAAAATCTAATTCTTGTTCCGTGTAAGAATCAGCCGACCACAACCGCTGATACTGAAACTTTGAAACTTGCTATGCTAAATGTCAGATCTCTTTCTAACAAGTCTTTTTTAATCAATAATTTTATTTGTTCTTATAATCTTGATCTTATGTTCATGGCTGAAACATGGCTTGACCAAAATACAGAAAATGCAGTTTTAATAGAAGCATCACCACCAAATTTCAAATTTGAATCTGAAATACGGGAAAACAAAAAAGGAGGAGGCTTAGCTGCCATTTTTAGAGACCACTTTGTCTCCCATAGAATGTCTCTTGGGAAGTTTCCGTCTTTTGAATATGTGTCTTTTAAAATACAACAAAAACAATCTCCTTCAATACTCTTCATAGTCCTATACAAGCCACCGCAGTCATGTCACAGTTTTATTGATAATTTTACCGAGTTGCTTTCAGTTGTATGCACAGATTTCGATAGTTTAGTTATTACAGGTGATTTTGATATTCATGTGGATAATGTTGATGACAGAAATGCAAAAGAGCTGAGTTCTTTACTTGATACCTTTGGTCTCACTCAGCATGTGAGTGGCCCCACCCACAGCAGAGGGCACACTCTAGACCTGTTAGTTACAAAGGGGGTGAATATTTCAAATATAAGCGTGGTCGATGTTGCTCTTTCGGATCATTTCTGTGTATTTTTTGACATGTGTTTCACTAACAAACCACCAGTGGACTCTGCAACTGTTCGAAGAAGACACATAAATGAAAATACGAGTGAACTATTTATGGGAATGATAAACTTTGAAAATGCATCGTATTCTACTGTAGATGAACTGTTTAACTCTGTCACCTCTAGTGTTTTGAATGTTCTGGATACCGTTGTCCCTGCGAAGGTTAAAATAGTGAAAAATAAGCAGAAGGCGCCGTGGGCTAAAGCAGACTCGGTCAGGGCACAAAAGAGAAAGTGCCGGAGGGCCGAGCGGAAGTGGCGCAAGTCCAACCTCCAGGTTGATTACAAGATCTTCAAAGATAAGTTGTGCGAGTTTAACCGGGTGCTACGTAGTACGAGAGAAAGGTATTTTTCTGAAATGATTGAAGGCTGCAGCAACAATCTGCGTGTTCTGTTTTCAACAGTTAATAGATTAACAAACCCCCCTGTTCAGATGCCATTAGAGCTAACTTCCAAACGTAAATGCAATGAGTTTGCACACTTTTTCAATGACAAGGTTCAAGGCATCAAAAACGCCATTGTCTCCAATCCACAGATAACCATCCAACAGCCAGAAAGGCTCTCTGAGCTAACTCACTTTGCACCTGTAGATGATAAAAATGTCCAAGAAATAATCTCCAGTTTGAGCTCCTCCACATGCAGCCTGGATGTACTACCCACTAGATTTCTGAAGTCTGTTCTGAGCAGTCTGTTACCTTCACTCACACAGATAATAAACATGTCCCTTCATTCTGGAATATTCCCAAAGGCCCTGAAAACTGCAGTCATCAGGCCCCTGCTAAAAAAGAGCAGCCTGGATGCTACGGTACTTAACAACTATCGTCCCATCTCAAATCTGCCATTTATGGGGAAAGTCCTTGAAAAAGTTGTCTACTTACAGCTTACTAGATTTCTTATAATTAAGAACTCATTTGATATGTTTCAGTCCGGCTTTAGACCCCACCACAGCACTGAGACTGCTCTTGTCAAGGTTACAAACGATATCCGGCTGAACACTGACGCAGGCAAAGTCTCAATCTTAATCTTGTTAGATCTGAGTGCTGCCTTTGACACCGTCGACCATGAGATCCTCTTACAGAGACTAGAGGACTGGGTTGGAGTCGCTGGCACCGCCCTAAGTTGGTTTAGGTCTTACCTTGAAGACAGGAAGTACTTTGTGGAGATTGGAGACTGTGTCTCAGATCATATGGCCCTGACCTGTGGAGTACCACAGGGGTCGATCCTGGGACCTCTTCTGTTCAATCTCTACATGCTGCCGTTAGGTCAGTTAATACGCAGAAACAAAGTGTCCTATCACAACTATGCAGACGACACTCAGATCTATGTCTCACTGACTGCAGGAGAACATGGACCAGTGGACTCACTCCTTCACTGTATCCAACAGATCAGTGAGTGGATGCAAAACAACTTCCTTCAGCTAAACGCAGACAAAACTGAAATGATTGTCTTTGGTCCCCAGAAACAAAGAGAGAGCGTCATCTGTCACCTCAGTCTCTCTCCCTAAAACCTTCAAACAAGGTCAGAAATCTAGGGGTAATACTGGACTCAGACTTAAATTTTAATAGCCACATCAAATCAGTAACATCAGCAGCTTTTTACCATCTAAAAAACATTGCCAGGATCAAAAACATAGTGTCTAAAGCAGACTTGGAGATTCTTATCCATGCATTTGTCTCCAGTAGGTTAGACTACTGCAATGGCCTGCTCACAGGTCTGTCCAAACAGGCTGTAAAACAGCTGCAGTACATTCAAAATGCAGCAGCTCAAGTCCTGACTAGAACCAGGAAGTACGACCACATTAGTCCGGTCCTCAGGTCCCTGCACTGGCTTCCTGTGGCTCAGGAATAGACTTTAAAACAGCTCTGCTTGTGTACAAATCTCTCCATGGCCTCGCACCAAACTATATTAATGACATGTTAGTCCCATATGAACCAGCCCGGACTCTGAGGAGCACAGGGACTGGACTCCTGTTAGTGCCCAGAGTCAGAACTAAACATGGGGAGGCTGCTTTTCAGATTCATGCTGCTAAAATCTGGAACAGTCTTCCTGAAGATGTGAGACAGGCCTCCTCTCTGACAATGTTTAAGACAAGGTTGAAAACAGTTCTGTTTAGCTGTGCATACAACTGAGGGATTTTATATTTGTATCTTTTTTTTATTTTTTTTTTTTTTTTAATGTACCGTGATTATTTATGATTTTAATGCTTTCTTGTTCTGTTCAGCACTTTGAATTGCCTTGTGTATGAATTGTGCTATACAAATAAACTTGCCTTGCCTTGCCAATGATGTAGTCATTATTCGATGTATCGTGATATTCTAATTTTAACGTTTAATTTTTGCTTCCGAGCTCAAATCCCAACCCCTTCCCAACCCGCTCCAGTCCGTCCAGTACCACCTGCCTAGTCCAGTCACGCTTAAATCTCTCCGTGCACTCGGACATTGTAGAGGCAAGTGAAGTCCTTGTTACCATAGTTACTGTTGATGTGGAGGCGGACTTGTTGGACTGTCTCGGGGTCGCCGTGTTGAAGTCCAAACGTTTGGAATGATGGTCCGTTCTGGTCATAAATGAAAGAGCCCAGAAACTCCTCTTTGCTGTCCTCCCACTTCAGTCCCTGAAAAGACCAGAGACATACAATAAATGTGACAGTTCTGACAGATGCAGAGAGAGACCAGCGAGTGACCAGCGAGAGACCAGAGAGAGACCAGAGAGAGAGACTAGAGAGAGCCCAGAGAGAGACTAGCGTGAGACAAGAGAGAGACCAGAGAGAGACCAGAGAGACCAGAGAGACCAGAGAGAGAGACCAGAGAGAGACAAGAGAGAGAGACCAGAGAGATAGAAAAAGACCAGAGAGAGAGAGACCAGAGCTAGTGACCAAAGAGAGAGATAGAGAGAAAGCAAGCTAGCGCAGAGAGGTGGTGTTGTTGTGGACTTGTGCTACTTATCTCTTGACCATTGTGGAAGTTCTCACTCACATATAGAGCCATGTCTCTGGGAGCGCTGGGAGTGTCTTTGGTCGGGGATTGAATCTTCCGGATGTGACCAATGGTGACATGCCGGACTCTGATGCCCTGGGAGAGCTGGATGGTCACATAACCCTTGTCCCCCGCCATCGGCCAGCACACACCGGGGCGTAGCGGGGAGCAAGACTGGGGAAGACAGAGGAAACAGCACATAAGTTTGAACACACACATCTGTGAATACAAAGGAGTCCACTTGAAGGAACCCCATAGACTTCCCATAACGAATAGTAATACTGTGAAATATGGATATTAGGGCTGGAAATTGGCAAAAATGTGACAATATTATTGTGAGATATAACATATATATTTTATTCTGCGATTTATGTCCCTCATATTTTTCAAAGGAATTACAACAAAATCGATTTAAGTGCTTGGCAAAAATATTGCAATGCTGATTGGAATGCTGGATATAGGACCCATTCCCAGGTCCACACACAGGGTCAAAGCGTGGGAATGGTTCTGTTTGTTTTGTGAAGCTTGAAAAAAAAACTTGTTAAAACCTGCGAGACATGTGGGTGCTGGGTTGGAATGGTTTGTGGGATTCGAATTTTTTATAATCAGGAAGTAATTTGTAGACAGCATAAAACACACCAATGAGGGGCAGGAGCAGGAGTTAGGGCTACTAGAGAGAAAGACCAGAGAGAGACCAGCGGGAGACCAGAGAGAGACCAGAGAGAGACCTGAGAGAGACCAGGGGAGACCAGAGAGAGACCAGAGAGAGACCCGAGAGAGACCCGAGAGAGACCAGAGAGAGACCAGAGAGAGACCTGAGAGGGACCAGGGGAGACCAGAGAGACCAGGGGAAACCAGAGAGAGACCTGAGAGAGACCAGGGAAGACCAGAGAGAGACCAGAGAGAGACCAGAGAGAGACCTGAGAGGGACCAGGGGAGACCAGAGAGAGACCAGAAAGAGACCCGAGAGGGACCAGAGAGAGACTTGCGGGAGACCAGCGGGAGACCAGAGAGAGACCCGGGAGAGACCCGAGAGAGACCAGAGAGAAACCAGAGAGAGACCAGCGAGAGACCAGAGTAATAGATACTCAACAATTTTTCACAAGAAAAATAATATTTGTTTTGTATCATTTTTGAATTGAAACTGCATTTTGACCTTATTGTGAAGAGCTCGTACCTGTAATATGTGGTGTTGTTTTGGCAAAAACCAAGTTCTGGCCCATTCTCTCCAGGTTGGACTCTGACATGTACTGGAGGTCTGACTTATGATGACTTTGGCCCCTTTAAACACAACACAAGTCACTATCACATCCATGATTCATATTACTGCACATTGAGAGAGGAGAGGGAGAAACCAGAGAGAGAAACCAGAGAGAGAGAAACCAGAGAGGGAGAAACCAGAGAGAGAGAAACCAGAGAGGAAGACCAGAGACAGAGAAACCAGAGAGAGAGAAACCAGAGAGAGAAACCAGAGAGAGAGAAACCAGAGAGAGAAACCAGAGAGAGAGAAACCAGAGAGAGAGAAACCAGAGAGAGAGAAACCAGAGAGAGAAACCAGAGAGAGAGAAACCAGAGAGGAAGACCAGAGACAGAGAAACCAGAGAGAGAGAAACCAGAGATAGAGTAACCAGAGAGAGAAACCAGAGAGAGAGAAACCAGAGATAGAGTAACCAGAGAGAGAAACCACAGAGGAAGACCAGAGACAGACCAGAGACACACAATCCTATAAATAGTAGGACAATAGTAGGAGATATTCAGGCGTGTATGTAAAAGCTTTTTTTACATTAATAAACATCACATTAGGTTTATTCTGTGGGTTTGTGTTAAAATGATGTATAAAGAGAGATACTATATAGATTAATTTGGTCACTTTTTTGTTTAGTCCTCACTAATGAAAACATAATTAAGTGCTCCTTTGTGTATTAATTATGATTGTTAGCTCTTAATTGGTATTTATTAAGCACTTGTTAGTCCTTTTCCACATGGCCTTATTCAACATCTAACAAACAACTAACTGACACTTTCCAATGTGTACATTAATTCACACTTAGCTGTTAAATAGTGAGGGCTAATCTGAAGTGGAACCATTCATTTGAATACATCTTCAGAGTTGGCCTTAGATACTATAGTGAGCAGAGCTGAGCCGTACCGTTCTCCAGGCTGGCGTAGTTTGGTCCTTGATTCCCCTCCTTATAAAGCAGACCAGAGTACGAGTCCTGGTCCGCTTTGTGATACAAGTGACCTGCACATGGGAGACATCAGTGACATCAGAGACATCAGGGACATCAGGGACATACAAGTTTTTATTGACATTTTGTGAACATTTTAACCTGCTGTTTATTGAGGAGTAGGAGAGTGCTGTATGGTCGGAGAGTGATTGTGTGTGTGTGTGTGTGTGTGTGTGTGTGTGTGTGTGTGTGTGTGCGTGTTTTGTGCATGTTTGTTTGTTGTCTCTCTGTGGGTGTGTGTGTCTTTGTGTCTGTGTGTTGCTTTTTGAACCATGTAATTGTTATCTCAGTGAAAACATGTGTTGTGCAGATTCTAAATGAATCATTTAAAATAATAATGAAGATTAAAAATCAGTTCCAAAGCCACAGTCGCTTTGATGACACAGTCTCACATAAGTCTTACCAAAAGTTATGATCATTGTCGCTGCAAACAGAAACACACACAGCGTCTGAAAGTGTCTCCTCAGAAACATCCACAACTTATGGGATCTTCTCCGAGGTTTCACTTCCGCAGCGTCATGGGAGAATCCATTGTCGTCCTCCAGCTGTTCCTGTAGCCTACTGCGAGGCTGCCTCCTGCGTTTGCTGAACACTCTACAACACAAACAGGAATATCAAATGATATAAACATGAAACAGACCATAGTGCTCTTGAAACTCTGGATTTACTTGTAGGGTGTTTCTTTGTAGCAGATGGTCGGCTGGCCCTCGCTGCTGCAATATCCCGACTGTTGGAGACGTCCGCTTCTCCTCAGATCTGAAATTACATGTATACAACACATTTATCTAAAACTACATTAAAGCTCAAGTATTGACAGGTCTCCGCACCCGAGCGTCCTCCAGAGGAGATGTGGAGATCCCACACAGAAAAACTACATTTGGACAAACTGTGCTGTCGGTCAGAGGAGGTCAGTGTTGGAACAACCTTCCTACAGACATAAGAGAATGCCCAAAATATAGCTCTTCTAAAACACCATTTTAAAGTAAATCAGTCCTGCACTCATTTTAACTAACTGTAATTTATATAATTGTATATTGTCCTTTTATATTATTATTGTTGCGTGACCTGCCTCAGGACTATGGATGTAAATGAGCAGTTTTGCTACAATCTGGCACATTTACAATTTGTGTACAACTTGTATATGATTGTTCATTAATGTGTGTTGTCCCGATCAAATAAATAAATAAAAATAAATTGTACGCGCAAACCAATTTCTAGCCAAAGACGAGAGGATCTTTGGAGCTAATTTAGCAGAGAAACTCAAAATTTGAGAGAGAGAGATTAGGTGCATTATTGTTAAGATATATAGTTAGATAGATGAATTCAGGTGTGCAGCAGCAGGAAGTAAAACCAGATCTAGTTCAGATCAACAAAGATTCAGAAAAAAATATGGTTTTACTGCAAGATCTTTGTTCTAGATATTCTACAATACCCAGAATTCTTTAGTCCTGTGATTATACAATGGGTGTCACGGGATATAAGAGGGACCAGAGAGAGCGACCAGAGATTGAGGCCAGAGGTTGAGACACCATAGAGTGAGACACTAGAGAAACTAGAAGGGTAGTAACCTCTGGTTTCTCTGGGATAGACACCAGAGAGGGAGAGACAAACGAGAGACCAGAGAGACCAACGAGAGAGACAGGAGTGAGACTAGAGAGAGTGAGACTAGAGAGAGTGAGACAGCTGCGGCAATAAACAGGTATAGGTGAAACTAAAACAATTAAATTATCTTTCAATAGTTCTGAATTTCAACAAAAAATGTGACACTAATGCAGCCTCGCGGTGAATTTTTGGAAGACGTCAGCCAAAGCTACCCCTTCCAGGCCGGCCTCGCAGCCCCAGCCTATCGCACAGCAAACGCCCATTTCCAACCAACCTACGCCGGCCAGGCCAGCCGCTTAAAAGCGAAGAAACTCCCACTTTACGTTCTTCTCGAAGCCTTACAAACCACCGCCTCTCCTCCTTTTCTCACCCTGCCTCAATCATGCCTCTTCCTGCTGCCCGAATGCCGCCACCAGTACCTAGGTCCCGGGGGTTTGTGCGCGCACTCTCGCAGGAGCCTCGCTGACTGAACGCCGCACCGGGGCCTAGGGCGCCAAACTACCTTTCAATAAAAAACTTCAAATCCATTTTGTCTCCTCGTCTCTCCAGATTGAAATAGAAGACCAGAGCATATACTCCTCACATTGTGACATAAACCAATCCTTTGTGTGTGATAAAGATGAGGATTGTGACTCTCAGTGCTGCTAACAGAGATACTGAGAAAATACTGATCATTCCAAAGTCCTGTACCTGACCTCAGCCCTGACCCTGACCTCAGTTGTGCAGCTATAGTCTGTGCAGAACGGGACCTGTGTCTCTTTTATCACTCGTGCTGCTGTGTTGTGTCTTTTGTTGTGTGCTCCTCACAGTAACCTGCGATGCAACACTGACATTTCCCATTTGTGGCATGAATACAGGATCTCTTCATCTTAATCTTAACAAAGGCTTAATACGTCTCACTGAGAAACATGTGATGTGACATTGAAACAATATTCTATTTCTCTGAGTTTCACCTGAACGCTCTAGTAAAAGAGAAGATATTTACATGTGTATTGCCCAAAATCACAACAGTAGTGGTCTCTGTGGACTTTACAAAGTTGGTGATTCACCAAAAACAGATCAGAGAATCAATCAGTTTGAACACAGAAAATGCAATAATAACAAACACATCCATAGGGAGCGGGATGCCCACTGTCCAGATATGTTGATAAATGTCCCGAATCATCACTGTCCTTTGACCCTCCTGAATCCACAAGACCCCACTCAGTTATGTTAGCATACACACCATAGCTACATATTCACACGTTTGTATCATTTTAAACCCTGTCTTTCATGAGTGGAATTCAAATCCAAACATAGAAACTGACTCCAACCAACTGCATCTTTGTCCATTTCTTGTTTTTCTTTGAGTTTTGAGATGAATCTCTGAGGTTAAAATGAACATTGTACTCACCGATGGGATGCGCATATTCGGACGCAGATACAGCTACGTATCCGAACATTTTGCCCTGATATCGTCTGAGCAAAAAAAAACCCGACTGCTCTGTTGAGCTGCTAACCGTATACTGAGGCTTTGGTCAGACTGATGAACCCAGGCCAGTGTGGAGTAGAACCCGGTTGCTACGGTAATTGGAATCACCGACGGAACTCCAGATGCATTACATCATTCTAAATGGATGACATCGGGCTTTCTGATTGGCTGATGAGCCGTGCATTGAAATGGATAGAGAATTTGACAACACATGACATATTGTATATTTTTAAAGTTTTACTTCAGGATGTATGGTGTTGGTCCTGCAGAAGTTAAACGTTGAGAACAAATGCTGTCTTTATCTCTGTAGAAAACACTTTACCTTTGAATGCGCTGGAAACGGCAGCAAGTCCTATGCTCAGTCAGTCAGCTCTGAAAGAGTTTTTGATTTTTTTCTTGCTTTTTCAGACCGGAGATGTTGCTGCTGTTGCATTATAATACTATTGTTAGTTACTTTTAGAATTCCTCCTATGACAGATCAATAAGTTGAGAAGATGGTCCTCTTTTTTCACTTTTCTGTCTGAGAAAGTTGGGTACCTCAGCTTTGACTATAGGTAATGAAATCCATCTTACTCGGGCTTGGCTCTAAAAGAATTGCTTCTGTACTTGTTTGCACATGCATGTTGTAGTGGCTCATTTAAAGACAGCCACAGTGAGCCAGGTGCAAAAGTTCTTCTGACACTGACGACCGGGGAGACGTAATACGTCCTACCTGAACTCAAACTCAAACTTATGGCATCAGAGCAGTCTAAATAATGGAGTGTCTCTGATTTTAAAGCTGCTCTACCTGTTTTTAAACTTAGATCATTTCAATTGTCTTTTACAGTTTTTAATCATCATGACATTTACTAACTAATAAAATTTTAGAATCTTTCTTTAACTCACAAATTTTAACCATTTAACTTTAACTTTTAAGGGTTTTAGATAGGGTTGTCAAACAATCAAACATTTTTAGTTGATTCAGTAATGGTGATTATGACGATTCATTGCATTTTTAACATTCTATTTCAAATCCACTCCAATTGAAGTTAAATGAGATTATCAAATGTAACGACACATTGCCATTCATACCATCCATCCATTTTCTTCCGCTTCATCCGTTGCTAGGTACATTCATACCAAATGTACTTAAATCTGTTAGATTTGCTCACAACCTTTTACTCTTGGGCACAACCAACATGAGCTGTTAATGAAAGGATTCATTTAGCGAGTTCAGTTGCGTTTCAGGAGGAGACTAGGACACTTCCTGAGGCTCCGTAGTTCAGCTTCAGCGCTGTGTTTGCGTGCACAGGTTACACACAGGTTACGCAAAGACATGCACACAACATGCAGAGAATAGTTCTGTGCGTGTATGGTCTTGGATCACGTTACAGCGCCGCCATTCGCCGTGTTGTTGTTAGCGGCTCACAGCCGCTGGAGGTGGGAATCGCTCTCCAGAGCGGCCGCAGCTGCCTGCCAAAAAAATCATTGTATTTATTTTTACCAACCATAATCGACAGGGCCAAGCCAAAGTAGCCCTATATACTCCCTGGGTCAGTCTTAGAAACATTAGTTTTCCCACTAATCGAGCTCACTGTGTGCGGCACGGTGGCTGAGTGGATAGCACTCTCGCTTCTCGACATAACGGTCCTGGGTTTGTATCCCGGTCGGAACAGGGCCTTTCTGAGTGGAACTTGCATGTTCTCTGTGTCTGCATAGGTTTCCCCTGCCCAAGTGACCTTGGTCTGTAAAATGTGCTATGCAAATAAACATAATGATGGTTTAATGTGGGGGCTAATTTAAACTCAAAATAGTAAGTTATTGTAGTAATCTGATTTTACAGACTTGAAATTTCCAGTAACTTGAATTTAAAAACTTAGTTGGCAGAACTTGGAAAACTTAGCTGGCACAACTTAATAAGTGTAGTTCTTCAAAACGTGAAGAATTAAGTTAATGCCTTCAACTCAAAAATCCTTCGCAGCTGGTTGCTTTGAAATTTTGAGTTCAACTAACTTTTTCTTTTTTACAGTGTGGGAGCAGTGGGGGCAGGTCCCGGCTCAAAAGTGGCCAAAATGACGTGCGCTGACATGCTTGCAATACCACCCCGGGCCGATGGGGGTGGACCCAGAATAAGAATTAGCCAATGCTAACATATAGCATTGGCAGACCTCTCAAACGTCTTTACAGGATGGACCAAAAGTTGGCTCTTGGCCCAAAGCTCCGTTCCACATGTGTGACAATGCTGAGGGGGGTGAATTTTTTTGGACCAGTCTAGTTTACTCGCTGTGAATTTTTGAAGGCACTCGTTCAAATGAATGGAGCTCTCCCCGGCTGACGCATGTGCAGATGCGTTTTTTCACAATTTTCTTGTGGGCGGGACCACTGGCGGCCATTTTGGATAGCTCCAGTAGAGCACTATTTTTGGCCCATTAGTTAGAACGGCGGATATAGGCGTGACTACGTCCATTATTTTTTAAAGTCTATGGGTAGGAGACACGGGGGAGACCTGCACTTGCGTTAATGGTTCTGTCTGTCCGTCTATGGTTCTGTGTGTGCGTCTATGGTTTTGTCCGTGCATCTACAGTATGATTCTGTCCGCGTGTCCGCACTCGGTACCACGGCTGTGCTTTCGCTGAGCTGTCAAAGCGGCAGTCATTAAAAAGCGGCCACAGCATCCCCGGCGTCAGATTGGAGGATGTAAATCCCGTTTTGAGTACAGCAAACAACAGAAAGTGCCCGCGGTCACACATTTCACAGAAATATAAAAAGTCGGGATTGGGGATCCATGGAAAATTTTGAAGAGAATTGGTCAAAAAATAAGGTAAACAGACGTGTCCACTCCTGGCTCCAGAGGAAGAAATGCAGGAATGGGTTTCCGGCCTGAATGGGTTAAAGCAGTGCTTCTCAATAATTTTCTTCCAGGCCCCCCTCCGCGCCCCTCATTCTTACATCTTTCGATTGGCTCATAAAACCCGCTCTCACCCCAAAAAGTCAAATATTGACTAACAGGGTTAGTTCTTAATTATGCAAAAAAAATATATATAAAAAACAAGACTTCTATTGTGGTGTGTTTTGTATTAGTTATTCATTTTACGTTTGGGCACTACCAGGTATCCCAGCTTTTATTCAGTGAGTTTTAGTTTCAGGGCTACAGGAGGAGACACGGGGGACACTTCCAGAGGCTCACATAGTTCAGCTGTATTTCTCGCAGCGGTGTATTTATCCCGTCCACAGGTTGCGCAAAGATCCGCACTTGTTCTGTCCGCGCTGGTCACATGACAGCTTCGCTTTGGCCGTGACACTGCAAAGCAGCTTCACAGAACTGCTGTCATTCACTACAAAGCGGCCACAATTAGAAATCAGACCGCTGCGGCACCGGAGCAAGTGGAATCCCGTTCCACGTACAGGAAAAAACAATAATTCCCTGCGGTCATGGGCACTTCCCCCAAATAATGAGCGGGGCGCCTCCACTAGTGTCACAATGAAAATACAGAGAGTAAAGTGTCACAATGAAAACACAGGGAGTAAAGTGTCACAATTAAAACACAGAGAGTAAAGTGTCACAATGAAAAGCATGAAGTCTGCAAATAAAACCACATCCTTAACCCTAAGCCCTAACCCTAACCTTAAGTCTTTTGAGGAAACATGTGATAAACTGACCTCAGACAGAGGGCCTGGATCCAGTAGTTAAACCTTGTCAAGAAGAAGACCACATCTCCACAGAAGAAGAAAGGAGTCTGCAAACGTAGCCCTTGAAACTGAGGCTTGTAAGTCTACGGCTCGTAAAACTGCTCACTACATGACGCGCTCCTTTGTCAGAGAAGTTTTGGAAATGGATGGAGAAGAAGACGACGTATACGCTCGCACACTTGGGACCATTGAGCTGCAGAGGAAGGTCGAGAAGAGCATTAATATCAACAGCCACCAAAGCCAATTTAAACCTGAACAGTTGGAGAAGATTGGAAAGAAAGTCGCCAAACGTCTGAAAGTTAAAAACGGCTCCATTGAGGAGTTTGAGCCCGAGGTGTTGGAACAGTTCAACACTGAGCTGAGAACTCTCCAGAACTGGCCTAAGTCTGGCCTTGCTCGGTTCTTCTTCAGGGTGAGAAAGGCCTTCACTTTTTAAAAATGTCCCAATCCAAGAAGTACATACATCCATCCACCTGGAAGGAGCGCTTGAAGATCAGGTGACGATAGATACATAGATGGACCACACTACCAGGCAAACATAAAAAGTGTGAACTTTTTTAACGTAACTTAGCTTTCACTACAGAGGTTAGGACTTAGATACATCATGGAGGAATGATTGATTTCTTGATGATTTGTTGTTCAACAAACACACATTTTGCACACATCACAGAGTCCATTGACGTGGTGTTGGTCACATGATCGGGAAGGTTAAAGCAGTAGTCACCTGTTCTGAACAATGTTGGAGAATGGAGACTTTTGGACTGTCGTGCATGGGTCATGAAGGACCTGTGAAGGGCAGGAATATGGCCTCTATTTCAAAAGTCCAGATGAGATGGTTGTTTTTGAAGGTTTTCTCACATGGGCATTGAACACATGAGGAATCACACCAACGATAGATAAGATAAGATGTACTTTATTAATCTCACACAGGAGAAATTTACATTTTTGTTATGTATTTTTTGAAGATAAGAATAGTCCCACTTTTGCTGCTCCCTCTTGTTTGGAAGTTTGAGTTCTTTCAAAATGGAGAGATTTGAGGATCTACTTTCAACTGTGGAGAGTTCTTTGCCTGTTGGTCACATGCCATTGGGTTAAAGTTAGTTCCAACGTGTACCAGGGGTTTTATTTTGGCAATAATGGGGGAAAAAAACAATACAAAGAAATAATAAATAAATATCTTTATTATTTTTCTGTTTTTAGGGGTCTGGGAAACCTGATTATTTAGGTACCCCAGCTTTAATAGCCACAACATGCAAATCAACAGCTATTGCCTTGTTTTTGTTTACTTTGGAAATAACCTAT